GAGTTTCATAGTGTCGACGTAAATTGTATTCTTTGAACACAGACACTATATTCTGGCATATCAGACACACAGCTCTGTCCTTGTACTGCATGAAAAAGTAACATAAGTCCACTGTTCTTTGAATATCCTACACTCCGAGTAAATTTTTCTCTTTCTTGACATCATTGTTTCCTAGGGAGTCAAAATTGCTATTAGTAAAATACCAATATATATACAGCGCTACAAAAACAATATACCAGCAATAACTTTGCCCACACAGAGACATACAGACTGCACTGCCCATCAATGCAGTCTGATTGGGGGGAACTCCGCCCCCTCTCCCTCTTCCACCAATGACCGTCCTTCTCATGTAGAAAAAAAGTAACAGACAGGCAGCGGCGGCAAAAACACCCAGCGGGCCGGATAAATGTCCTCGGCGGGCCGCATGTGGCCCGCGGGCCGTAGTTTGAGGACCCCTGGTGTAGGTGCAGTACCGGCCCCAGAGGCACGGCATGCGGGTAATGACATCAAGGGATGTCATCACCAGGCTGTAAGGACTGTACCGGCCCGAGCGGGCAGGGTGTGTGCCGCCCAGAAGGGAAGGTCGGGTAAGGCCATGGCAGTCTAGTTGACCCGGGTTGACACGTGACCAGTTAAGGTAACAGAGGGGCCCCCGAGGGGGGGGGGGGCTGTGAGGATCACGTGATGGAACCGAGGTTCTTCGTGAAGGTTCTGGAAGGGAGGCGTGGCCAGGAGTGGATCCGGCCACGCCGGAGAAGAATATATAAGCCGAATCGTGAGAGGGCTCTTGGCTGTCCATCCTTAGTCTACGTTCTACGGTCTTCGAGCACGTGGTGCTGGCAATGTGCTGTCAGCCCCGGCCCACGTGACCAGTTGTTGCGTGGTTAGCCAGGGTGGTCACCACCCCAGGTCGTTGTGTTAAAGTTGTCCTGTTGTGTTCAACAGTAAAATACGCTTCCTCCGAGTTGAAAGAGGACGCCTGAGTTGAACGCACTACACATGGACAGTGAGCCCGACTCCGTTGGGTTGTCCATCGATGTGCTTCGTTCAGTAAAGAGGAACTCCACTCTGCCGCCGAGCAGACTTCCGTTCCGTACTTTCGATGCACTCAACGGAGCGTATAAACGTCATCCGTGATGAAGATACTCATTTAAATTACACAAGCGGTTTGTTAGATAACGAACTTTGGCTCATTCAGACACTGTCTTTTCGACAGACCTGTTCTTCACCTGAGGACGGCTGATTGCGTTGTGGCCGAAACGTCGTGAGAATTGTATTTTATTGTTTTATTTTTATTATTCTATTATTTCCCTTCTACGTGAATTTACCGAAAGAATCAAGAAAACGAACTTTAACCTACATTTTTTAATCACTTGTGTCGTCATCATCATCATTACTGAAGAAGCCAAAATATCCGAGCATCTCAACACACGGTGTGACCTTTTGCACCAGCGTGCTGCATTACGAATGAATAATTCAGTGTTCACCCCCTGATGTAGCTAGGACCTTTGCCGATTCATTGCCACGTCTTTCAGTGGCAGTGTTGGCTAATTACAAGCGACATCCTGAGCTTACGAGTTAGCACCACCTGACGATGCAGTTACTGGAGAGGTATTGCACGGACGGCATGTTTATAGCAATAACGAAAAACCGCCCATGCTTTTGAAAAACATTCCCACGTGATGCAAAGGACTGTTTCGTTGGTAAAACTCGAAAATAATCCGATGTATTTTCCCAGCTCGTACCGTGTGTTGTTCGGCACGATGTCCAATATATCTGGAGCGGAAGATGGCAGCAGCCGTCGAGCGACCCGGACTCTGTTAAGTGTGAAATCGCGACGGATGCCGTCAACGCGGCGACCGGACATCGAGCGTCGATCTCCCGCTCTCCAGAGCAGCAACGCACGTGTCCAACATTTCACTCCACGTGCTGGGACATTCTTCAGGAACTGAACTCAGCAGCTTACCTTCTCCCTCGTTCACACATCGTTGCCCGATGCTGCTGCTGTTGCTGGTGGTGTCGGATGTGGGCCGGCCGATGTTATTTTCCTGCTAGGAAGAACCTGGAGTATCCGGAGAAAGCTCACCCACCACCATCACGCCGAACAACACACGGCACGAGCCAAAACAAAAAAAAAACACTTCCGAGATTTTATAGAGCAACGACCGAGAAAGCCGCATCAGCAAAACACTCGCAAGTCGTTCCAGCCCGAGCCACTAACAAGGACACCGTCTACTGGCGACGTTCAGCACACATCCTGTAAACGACAACAACTGGTAAACACGGATCGCATGCAAGGGTCACGGCAACGCATGCCCGTCGAGAAACCCATCACGCGACCACAAGCGCAAGCGGCTTTCCACGTGCGCCTCCCCCCCTTCAATGCACTGCTGCTGAGCGTGCCGTGCTAACGGTGCGTTCACGAGCTGGTGCGCAGCGAAACATCTGGGGAGGCGCACTCGAGTTACGCCAGACCACAGGGCATGCTGGAAAGGCAAAGGGTATAGGGTGGAACGTGCGGGAGCTGCGATCGCTGGCGGAAAGCGGCCTCCGATAACAGGGCTCTGGAGAGATGGGTGGAACACAGACAAGAGGGGGTGGGGGTGGGGGGTTAAGAAAGTTGCCCCATCGTTTCAGCTGCCGCGCCGGGGAATCAAACCGGCTATGATCTGGATCGCAGATCCCGCGTGCTCACACCGTCGCAGCCAAGGCACCATCCCTGTGATTTAAATATTATTGATTTAACTACTCTAACGTGCATTTTCATTTGCTTATCAGAATGTGTTAGGTGTTAGTCATGTGTGTAAATTTGATTTAAGTGCAGATATTTTCTTTGGGTCTTTCGGTAAAGTCACGTGACTTTACCGAAAGACCCAAAGAATATGAATTCCTGCAGTCACGAAAGCTTTAAGTCAAGCTTAAAATGCTGCTATTTAGCAAATTCATGTTATTTACAATATACGTTTTTTTCGATTAGATTGTGTAAATATAAATGCGTCGTTAAAGCCTCCACCACCCGACAGAGTCAATGAGTAATGTTTGTCACGTAATCAAAACATGCCAATTCGTTACTCGTTCAGCACACATCGGTAAGTCGGGAGAGTAACCCCACAACATTTACAATTTAACGACACATTTATATTTACGCGAGCTAACCCACCACAAAAACCTCTATTATGGATATTCATCGCGGAAGCCTACGTATTAAACTACAAATGTAGTTACTTGCGGGATGCCGGACATCTCCCGTAACCAGAAAGACTCTGACTCACATTCGTCTGGCTTGGGAGATGATTCGCCGGACTAGAATGTTACGCTTAATAGAGTACTGCGCGGGGGAAACATTGCGCTTGGATAATAATGCAGGCGCTTCTTTGGAGCTTGAGTAATTGCGTATGGGTTCTTTTTTTAACGGGCCGTTTAATGAGAAAGCATCACTCACTACTCGTAGCCCTCGGCAGTAAAAACCGTGCCGCAAGAATTGCTCGGGGGGCCATGCACATCAGCAGAGATAAACAAAATGGCTTATAAGTAAAAACAAGTTTGTTTTTATTATCAGAGTTTGCTTTCTTAAACCTGGTGTGAACTCAGGAGGCCAGAATACGCCGTCTCAGTCTGCGAGTGATTCCGGGGGAATTCATCTGCCGGTCGGAGGCACAATGATTGCTACGGGGAATCCCAATTGAGTCGAATTTGTGGTGTGATTTTGGCCTTGACCATTTTGACCCCCGAACATCGGCACACAATGGCCGACTCTCGCACATGGCGGCGGGTGATCTTGAACATCCAATTCGAATCGGACGGCGCTGTAGTATCATTACGGTTACAACACTACCGCAGATTGTTTTTTAATCAAGGCCGCCGCTGGTTTCAAACCGCGAACCTCTACAACAAGCGGGGAACGGGCCACCGCCGGGGGCCTCGTCGTGAGACGAGTAAATGATTGTCTCCTATGTATTACCTATGTATTACCTAGGTATTACCTATGTATTACACTCATCATTATCATTGTCAGCCACGGTCAATCCAGCAGCTGGATGAAGGCCTCCCCAAAGCGCCACCGTCTGTCGGGATCCCGCGATGCAAATTTAGTTTTTTTAAACGCACGTAATAATATATCACTTGTTCCGTTATTTTGTAGACATCGTTAGAACAATGACGATCCACAAAAGTGCAGCAATTGAAAGTAGGACGAGCGTGGAGCGGCTCCAACCGAGCTCGGAGCACGACGATGTCGCCAGGGTCACACGGTTACAGCTTTGTGAACGGCAGTAAGAGGGCAAGTCTGGTGGTGAATCTGAAAGAGTCCCAGGTTCTGTTAATTTTTCTTAATGGAGATGAAAGTTCATACGGCATGGCACACAGCATGGTGCGTACGAAACTAACTTCTTGGGTTGCGTTTTCCTTTTGAGAATGATCTTAAAATGTAATCGGACAAATATCGCAGTGCAGGACCCTCCTGTTAAACGAGTCTTGAGACCCCTATGGTAACACGAGGGTAGCATTCGTTAACAGATGAACGCGTGGAACGGGGCCTATTCACACGACACTCCACAGCAGTGGTTCTCAGCGTGTGGTCCCCCGGTACCACCAGGTGGTCTGCGGGGCTGCGACACAAATGCAGGTTATGATATTTAATTAAAAAAGAAAGTTTTGGTAAACTACCCTAACGCCAAGATCTAAATGCCCCTCCTAAAAAGTAAACCGTATACAGGGGCTCCTCTACTTATGAACGAGTTAGGTTACAGAGGTCTGTTCGTCAGTCGATTTGTTCGCAACTTTACTCATGTTTCGATTTGAAGCTTTCGTGACTGCAGGGATTCATCTTCTTGGTTCTTTCGGTAAAGTCACATAGAAGGGAAGTAATAAAATAATAAAAATAAAACATAATAAAATAAAATAATTCTCACGACGTTTCGGCTACAACGCAAGCAGCCGTCTTCAGGGTGAGAATTATTTTATTTTATTATGTTTTATTTTAATTATTTTATTACTTCCCTTCTACGTGACTTTACCGAAAAAACCAAGAAGATTTACTCATGCTGATTACAAACATGTTGTACGGCATATACATTAAACACGAGGAATTCCTTTAAACGTTTTATAATCTCCTGTAGATGTAGATGACGCTGGTTCTTCACACGTCTGTGCAGATGTAGATGCCACCATCGCCATCTATTGCGCGGCGGTTGAACTTACGACTCTCGGTCTGAACAGGCAACTGGACATACGGGGGCAGGTTTGTTCGTATCTCCGAAAATTCGCAAGTCGAAGTGTTCGTAAGTAGAGGAGTAGCTGCATTTAAAAAAAACATTTTTATGTTCCGGTCATAGGAATAATTTTGCATGACTGCTATTTAGAGAGAGAAGTGCCACTATGGGTGGGGGGCATCCGTGGCAATGTTCGCATCTGCTGAGCGGTCCGCGAGCCAAACAAGTTTGAGAAACACCGCCCCACACCGACGATACGTGCTTGAGTCACGCAGGAGTTCACTTTGTGCTTCGACATTAAGACTGACAAAACAAAGAATGCACGGTGGGCCAACCTCCGTGGCAAGCACAGGAAATCAAACGAGAACATGGAATAAGAAAGGCAGCATGGAGAGGCAATGCTGAAAGCCGTTTCATTCACAGAATGAGCAGGACGAGCTTTAAAACAAAACCAGTTTGGTTTAAAAATACACGAATAGAGAGAGTTCGTATTTTAATTTTTTTTTAACGAGCATCCCACGGCCTTTTTAAATTAAAGGACCGCCTCATATTAACGTAAACAGTGTCCCTCTGTGGAGGGGCAGTGCAAACATATTAAAGATATTATTGATCGCCTTGGAATTTCTAAGCAGCTGCTGCGATCAACAATATTTACAAGTGATTTGCGATGTAAAAAAAAAACATTCACAAGAAGAAACGCAAACAATAACCCCAGCGGGATTGCCCCACAGATGGACACATTTCGTCTGCCACGTTACGAGCGCTCGCTATAAGCACGTTCAAATATCAACTCCCGTTACACAGCACGTCACCACATTACTTATTCATGCCGTTTAAGTGGGTTTCGTGTCATTTATTACTCTGCGTTTTAACAATCCCAAAATTGCCTGATATGACTATAATTGTCACCGTTTATGATTACGTCAAATATATATTTTGCGATAAGTTGACTTGGATGATGGTTTACAGACTAAGGTACAATTGCGCTTTGCAACTTTGCCTCGGAAAGAAAAAAGTAATTGCAATGATTTGCTCCCGATTGCATTCTCCCATGCATTACACGATACCGTAACCTGAAGTGTGATGCTATGTCGACAGGCTCTATCCGTTTGTTATACAAAAGTTTATACGTTTCTTTTTGTACATTAATAAGAAACTCTAAAATAGTAACACCTTTTTTAAAGGACAAAGGAGAAGCAATTCTTACTTAAGATAAAATATTGATTGCTGTTATCAGGGGTGGAACAAGGCCTGGGTGAATCGTTCCTGTGAGCACGTCCCAGGAGCCGGTCCTATAAGCCAATGCTATGAGCCGGTCCTATGAACCAGTCTTATGAACTGACCCTATGAACCGGCCCTATGAGCCGGTCTTATGAGCCGGTCTTATGAACTGATCCTATGAGCACATCCTATGAGCCGGTCCCATGAGCCAATCCTATAAGCCAGTCCTATGTTTTGGTCCTACGTGCAGTCCGATGAGCTGGACCTATTAGCCGGTCCTATGAGCCGGCACCTATGAACCAGCCCTGTGAGTCGGTCTTATTCACCGATCCTATGGGCAGTCCCGTGAGCCGGGCCTATGAGCCAGGGTAGAGGCACACAACACCACTCCCGAGCCAGCTGCCCCACAGCACACCGTTTCGCGTCGAGCAATCTCCCCCATCCGCGCGTAATTAGTCGCCCATTCACGTGTGAATGACCTACTGCGCGTTAAATACATTGGGTGATTTACGAGCTCGGGGCTGGGGGGGAGGGCTTCCTGCCTGCCCATTGTAGGCAGCTGCAAGTGGCGTGAAGTGTGCTTTAATGTACACAGACCAGCACCAGTAAGCATATGCGCCTCCAAAGCCAGCCCTGGCTGCAGCACAGGTCAGCTGTGGTCATCAGACTGAATGCGGTCTGCCTTGGGGAGGTGTTCATGTCGCAGGTGGCTCACACCGCAACTCGTCTGGCGCCTTTCAGAAAGCTCGGACCGGATGTTCGCCTGTTGTTACCCCAGCTCCGGATGTAACCGGGAGTACGTACTTCTTTGTTTTTGCGATTGTCGCCAAGTCAAAGCCTTTTTTTGTTGTTGAAATATCTCAGACAACGAATTCCTGCCGATGCTGGCTTCAAGCGAAACCCTGTTCAGATCTTTACAAAAAGGACAGGGCCACGTGGACAAACAACAGCTGCCGAGATTAAGATATTGACAGAATTATCAGCCAAGTGAGCAATCTCTTCACAGCACACCACAAACACATATTAGACGCAGAGAGTGCAATTACACCGCAGAGGGCTATCTTTGCTTTTTGTATGTTAACACGTCAGTGCAAATGACCTCGCTCACACAGTGCAAGCCACAGTGGCCGATAAGAATTAAGACGAAACACTCAGAAGTCAAAATGACATTTGTTAATGCGATACCCCGGTAAACTCTTTCACCAATAAGACATCTGCCGTCGGCTTCCTGCGACAGAGATAGGTGGCGGCGTTGTTCACGCTCACGACAAAAGCCGATTGCTCCGCTTTCATTGCCGACAGACGCTGTGCCAAGCGTTGACTATCGCTCTTCCTGGCAATTAGTTTAAGTATCCGACTCCCATTTGTCTCCACCACTGACGGCAATTATGTATCATATATATTGGTAACAAATGTCATACCATAGAGTGGAATGATCAAGCATGGGGGTTTCATGCAGCATCACCAGGCATGGCTAATTGAGGTCACGATATTAAATAGTAACTTGCATACAATCGGTCTTCAGTCATGTACAAATTACATATATTTGTGCAATCAAACGTGCATGCTAAATATATATATACGCGCGGTTATGTGCTTGAAACCAATACACAGTATACAATAAAATCACAAATAATCCATAACTTAATTTCGACCGACGATTACGTTTCTCCAACATCGAGTTTGAACAAAACACACGCTGCTACAATGCGCTCGATAACCCCACCACGGTTTTGTTGTACAAAGCGATGAAAATGCTACGCCGGCGAGTAACAGTCACCGAGCCAAACGTGGAAACTGAAAAGTGCGCAGAGAAGCGTGGGGAGACGTGGGGCCTTTCGTGCCAGCATCAAAGTATAAGAATAGGCGTTTACCTTTTCTGGCAATAAAGCAGGCGTTAAGATGTTCAATCACCAAACAGAAAACTGTTGCAAGGAGTCAAGTCTGCATTAACCACACGTCCTTGTGGTGCACATGCAAACAAACATGCTCTGATGATATAAATGCTCTGATAGTGGCATTGCCTTTGTACTGTTCGCATTTAGGCGTTCTCTGCTCTGACATTGATGAGACTGGGCCCTAAAGAAGGCTGTCTCTGGTGTAGACCAGTTTCAAAGACAATGCCATATGCCAGAGGATGTTTTTGTTTGCATGTTCACCACAAATATGTGTAGTTAATGCAGACATGATTCCTTGTAAAAGGTTTCTGTTTGGTGCTTGAACATCTTAACAGCTGTTTTATTGGCAGAAAGGGTGAACCCATTCTTATGAAGCACGGGGAGATGGACGCTCGCAATTGAATTGAGAGACGGAGAGGGCAACACGTAGATTTGGAGAACCGGCGCAGGTTAGAGACGTCACTCAAAGCCACAAGAAGAGCCAGTGGGGGCTTGGGCAGTACACGACAGGGTGCCAAGATGTTAACTACCTCGCCTGCTATGCAGGAGGTCGTGGATCCCAACTCTGACGCCTGCTGTATATTTGGAGCTTGCGTGTTCTCCTCGTGATTGCGTGTATTTTTCTCCAGGTCCTCCGGTTTTTCACTCCACACTTAGAAGCACGCGTTTATTTGGCTGCTGTGACTTTCCACGTGATCAGCTCACGTCGTTGAGCTATCATTTGTGGCCAAGTCGCTTCGGAAAAAGAGCTACATAGCTCAGCGGACCTTACCTGGTACAATAAAAACAGTTTATAGTTTTTTGTTTGTTAGTCGGGGCTAGAAGAGATGAAGGCCGACGGTCAAGAATGACGACGGGATGGCGGCCAAGGAATGAAACGTCCACCGAGGAGATAGGGCGATGAAATCGGCTCGTGTGCGGCTGCTCAGTTAATTGTTGCACTGTCGCGCTGCGAGGGATGGCGACGACTTGGAGAGGTCTTCCTCCAGCAGTGGAGTGATCACGGCGAACGGTCATGATGGTGATAGTGAAGCCAATTGAACTTACAACAGCGAACTACGCTAATGTGTTTAATAGTAACCAGTGAAATACTATCCGAGTTTTAGAGAGTATCCTGAACAAAAAAACAAATTAGCAACATGAGATTTTACACATATTGATATCGCCTACACTGCAAGCGTAATTTATGTTACTGCCAAAATTTGCTTTATGACTGGTCTGAAAGATGCGGAGTATTACATTTTGAAATGTATCCTCACAGTAATGTGACACTTTAATGAGACCTACAGTCAAAAACAGTTGTAAAATGAGACGTTGAAAGCATGCTGATTGTGACGCTGATTACTTTGTTGCAAAATATAGTTGCTCTGATTTATATATAACACCGTTCGTGCAATGCTACGATACATTTAGCACCAAATCGGGTCGTGTGCAGGAGCTGGATTCTGCATTGGAGGGATGCGAGGTATGGCGATTGCTTAGGGAAGTGGGTTGATCATGGTTGATGATTATGGCAATAACCCAATCGGTATGTTTATAGATAATTAATTTAAATATGCAGTCGGGAGGAAGCATGCTTGGAATTACATTGAGAAGTTACCGTGAGTTAAAGATATAAACTACACTATTTTTCAACGGTTAACTTGATTCCTCTGTTTGTCGTGGTCAAATCTTGTCGTCAAAATTTCGTCCACTTCCCGTTGTCCAATCAATTCCACATTTTGCACACGTGCTCAGATCCGGTGACAATGCATGCCTGGATCAAAATCGGCATAAATTAATACATTAATTCGCTACTTTAAAGCAATTAACGTTTTGTATGGACGCCTTATTATTTATATATTTGTGTAGCTCAAAAACGCCGCGGCCCCTAAACTGTGGAATCGGCTCGCACAAAAAGCAGGCGCCGCGTGTCTCAGGCGCCATTGACGGACTTCTCGACCGTGAGTTAAACAAAGTTGTTAATAAAATCGTTGTTTAGAAAAAAAACTTTTTTAAAGGAGTTTATTTTATTACCAGGTAAGCACCACTGAGCTACATAGAAGCGACCTGGTCACAACTGATAGCTCAACAAAGTTGTTGATCAAGTAAATTAATAGCAGACAAATACTCTAAATTCCCGTTGATTGTGGAGGGAAAAACCAGAGGCCCCGGAGAAAAATCCACGCAATCACGGGCAAAGAGACACGCAAACTCCAGATATACAGGCGTCAGAGTTGGGATCGTACTCACGACCTCCTGCGTACCAAGCTATGTAGTCACCATCTCTCCACCGTGGCACCCTCATAAATCTGACTGCTAAGAAAAGTGGGCATGGGTACAGACATGTCGCGGCCATGAGGGCCTAGGTAGAGACACGTCACATCCTTGAGGGCCTAGGTAGAGACACGTCACATCCTTGAGGGCCTGGGTAGTCACATGTCATGGCCATGAGGGCCTAGATAGAGACACGTCACATCCTTGAGGGCCTAGGTCAGGGGTCGGCAACCAAAATAACAAGAAGAGCCATTTCTTTCCAAATCGGTACAAAATTCAGTATTTCAAGAGCCGCAATGCATATGAGTACATACTGTACATACGTACATATCGTCAAGAAACAGCCCGTAAAGAGCCGCATGCGGCTCCGGAGCCGTAGGTTGCCGACCCCTGGCCTAGGTAGTCACACGTCACATCCTTGAGGGCCTGGGTAGAGACACGTCACGGTCTTGAGGGCCTAGGTAGTCACATGTCGCGGCCATGAGGGCCTGGGTAGAGGCACGTCACATCCTTGAGGGCCTAGGTAGTCACATGTCACATCCTTGAGGGCCTGGGTAGTCACATGTCATGGCCATGAGGGCCTAGATAGAGACACGTCACATCCTTGAGGGCCTAGGTAGTCACACGTCACGGCCACGAGGGCCTGGGTAGAGGCACGTCACGGTCTTGAGGGACGGCAATGGCTGTCGGGCGAGAATAACGATGGCATGGCAACCGAGAGAGGGATCGCATCCGAGAGCTCGTCCACCGCGAAGATGGCACGATGAATTCAGCTCGTGTCCAAAGTGGCTTGCCGGGTTGTTACATCGCAGAACCGCAAGAGATGGAGACTGCTTGGGGAGGCCTTCATCCAGCAGTGGACTGATCCTGCTGATGATAAGTATTTAATATGATTAGTCAGGGCCGTCCATAGAGAGGTGCGGGGCCCGGGGCAATTCACACCGTGTGGGCACCCGCCCCACCAACGCCTTCAAACCAAACCTGAAGTATTGCATCTGACACCGTGACGTTGAAGCACGGGGCTCCCCAAAGCGCGGTGTCCCGGGCAGTCACCCGTACCCTAGGGGCGGCTCTCCGATTAGCTTTTATATCACATCGTTACATTCGCTCTGACAAGTGTCACGCATTGAAAAAAACGCATGCCAATGTTGTTGTTTTCTTTGCTGGTTGTGGAACATTAGGTGCTAATAATTACCACGCATCAGCGCATTTATTAACTCACCAAGCAGCTGGTTAATGCCTGCGCTTAAAAAATGCGTTCACAGAAGATGTAACGACCGAACACAAGTCTACGATTCCAAACAGGCTTCATCTGGTAGCGGTCGGTGTCTGCTGCCCACTCGACCATTAATCTAAAAAGGTAAAGGTGCAGCCATGCATCTGCTTGCGCACGCCACTCCTGGTGAAAAGAGCCCCCACAAGAGGGAGCTCTAGAGGGAGTTTTGCCTACTCTCCCGCGCTGGTCACACATCTCTACCCCACCACACGTGATCTGGTGTACATGCCCACGTATACTGCTGGGAGGACAGAGGCGGGGGGAATTCAAGAAACCTGCCGCGCCGGGAGATCGATCGGGCGACCTCTGGATCGCAAGTCCGTTACACCTCGGCGACATCTTGACATGAAACTAAACGAAGGAAATAATTTTATTTGTAGCAAAAACTAAAATGGCACTGGTCGGGTGGCTCAGAGGTCAGGGCGCTGACGAATTAGCGCCGAGCTCGCACCGGGGAGATCATGGGTCAGAATTGGGTGCAGCCAACCGTGGTGAAACAACGTTCTCAAAGTATCACGGCTGACGGTCTCGACCCAGCTCACGCATCATATTAAATTTGTGATTTTCACCTTCATAAATGAGTATATTGGTTGGACCGGCATGAGACTAGCTCACATTATGGAGGAGTGCAAGCCCTACTGGGTAAAGGTTTACAAGGCCACTTGACGGATTTTCTTTGCGAGAATTCCCGTGAGAACCGTAGCTCTTCTGCAACTGCTCCGGCGCTTTGCGAGACATTCGAATAGATTCTTCATCACGTGACGTGATGCCGAAAGCGTAATTTGCAATATATATGTTTGCGAACTTTCTAGATGCTGGAAATGTTTTATGATTTTAAATATAATAAGGCGGGGGGGGAAGATGAACCTGACCGACATGCTAGACACTACATTTCGTGCCTAAATCATTAACCCAAGCTCAGCACTCGTTAACAGTTCTACACCAGCTGTCATGCTGCTGTGTTGGAGTTCGAATTATTCATTCAAATGTGTCACCTCACCTCCGGTTACATTAGAAGAGAAAAAAAGGCCTTCAGTTGCCAAGTGACAGCTTAACTATGGGTTTCTTTCTCGGAATAATGACATTTTAAAGCATATTTGGTGGCAGTGTTTCAATATGTTCTTTTCAACACCCAACTTGCACTGTAGTTTATACAGCAATTGTATAGAAATATAGCTCATGCACTCACACAGAGTATATTTTACAATTAGTCTCTAGAGATTCACATTCACTACTTCACATGCCCACACAAAACATGTTTTTTTTTCAGTTTCACTGAAGCTCTAAACAAAGCTTCAAGCAATTGAATTCACTATGAGCTCCCCTGCCATGAACAACTCGTTGTATGTATGTAGCACCGTACGTAGCCAACCGTGCAAAAGCATTTTTGTTTGAATCTCACAAGGCAGGTTCGTGTTCAACGGTTTGTGAGGTGTGAGCAGTCACCCCACTGCCAGAGAAAACCAAGCTACGGCACCAATACCGTGGAAGTTCCTTGGTGCGGTGCGCGCGAGTGCCACAAGCGTGGCACGAGCATCTCCAAAACAAACCAGAGCTCACGGTGCTAACCGCTCACGATTAAAAGTCTCTGCGATCTGCTGTAGGATTCGCCGAAGCACACACAAGTCACTTGCGTCTGACGCAGCCACATTCAGAGCCTCACGCGTAACCGTTACGTCCACCGCATGGCAACAAACGCCTTCGCAATTTAATCTCGGGGTGCTGCAATTCAACGAGTCGCGTCACGGAGACTCCCTGTTCTAACAAAGGTGCGGCGATGTTCAACCGTGCTGGTGTCCCTAAGCCGGTGACGGAAATTCAGCAAAACCATCCCATGGCGTGCGCGAATCTAAACAGCGACTCTGGTGTACGCCGGCGATGTTTATTGTCGAGCAGCTTCCTTTAGTTTTACCACCAACCCCCACTGGTAGGCGGGGAAGCTGGAGGGGTGCAGTTTCATAATCATCTCCGGGAAGTCGCTGGTGTCGTTCAGAGTTTACGTTTGTTTTTGCCGTTGTTCCGCTTGAAGGGTCGCCGGGGTCACCGCGACGTCACGCCGAGCGCCCCCTTGAGGTTCTCGTAAACGACGTAGCTGATGCCCACGGCGGGGATGACCTTCATGAAGTTGGGCGCGATGCCGCGGTACAGGCCCAGCAGCCCGTCCTGCTGCACGATGGAGCGCATGAGCCCCACCATGCCGGGCTGCGACGCTCCAGGGCCCCCAATGCTCGCTGGAGAATGCAAGAGAAGCGACGTTATATTCTTGGTTCTTTCGGTAAAGTCACGTAGAAGGGAAATAATAAAATAATGAAAATATTAAACAATAAATTCTCACGACGTTTCGACTGCAACACAAGCAATCATCATCAGAAAGTTTGAAAAAAGATTGCTTGTGTTGCAGTCCAAACGTCGTGAGAATTTGATTGTTTTATATTTTTTGCATTTTATTATTTCCCTTCTACGTGACTTTACCGAAAGAACCAAGAATATGAATCCCTGCAGTCACGAAAGGTTTAAAATCAAAAGATGCGACGTTACGCAGAAACCCCACACTCGCTCAACTCACTCTTAGGGCGCCATGGTGGCGAGATATTCACTCCCTCGCCTCGTATACAGGAGGTTATGGGTTTGATCCCCTGATGCCTGTATATTTGGAGTTTGCATGTTCCCCCAGTGGTCGCATTGATTTTCTCCGGGTCTTCTGGTATTTCCCTCCATATTTGGAAACGTGTCTAGAGTATTTGTCTGCTATACATTTGAACGTGATAATCCACTTCGTTGAGCTATCATTTGTGTCCAGGTCGCTTCTGAAAAACAGCTTTACCACTCAGTGGGACTTATCTTGTAAAATTAAAAATAGTTTAGTTTTAACAGTTCAGTTTTAGTCTGTACCTGTTTCCTTACCGAGGGCCAAAGATGATGTTTAAATCCTGAACTTTGATCCAAACGCAAGGACTAAAATTTGAAACACGACATTGCTAGATCAAATAATTTCCCGCTGGTGTCCCATTAGCGCGGCTCAGACGCTTGCAGTGATGCATACATATTGTTCGTGTCTGCTTTGAAGTGGCAGACTTTATGTGGCTGTGGACAATATGAAGTTAAGTCGGGGGCCGTGTGTGAGGCCCTTGACCCGTAGGCTGCCCAACCCTGAGGGAAGTCACGCCAAAATGTCTCCCAGATCTAAGGGGCATTACAGTGGCACGAGTCTCCACCGCTGACCCTCAGCCAGTGGTAGAAATTCTACATTGCCTTGGCATGGGCCAGCAGTGTTGACTTCCTACACAGTGGCGGTCAGCTTTGTCAACGCCAGATAAACTAAGGGCCTTGTCAAATCCCTGACCAAACCTAAACTCAGAACTTTCAGATTGTGAGTCAAACCCCACTCTATCCACAGTGCCATCCAGACAGCTGTGGACTAATCGTGGGAAGGGCAAGTTGTTATTAATGGGATATTTAGAATATTTGTTTAAATCTTTATTTACCCACTTAAAGTGTCACGTAGGATCAAGACCCATTTTCAAGAGGCTCCCACTTGGAATACACACACATAAGTGTGTTAAAAAAATACTGGAAAGATCACAGCAAACCACACAATAGTAGAAGAGCGGACAACTCAGTATCTAAGAGTCAACAATCTGCTTTACTCTACTGCCCCCTACACGCCATACAAGTGAGTATCAGCACAGAACCATTATCATTTTGGCTAGCCATCAAACGCTTTTGGCTGACCATCGAACAAAGACGGACACCGCATCATCGCACGCTTCCAGATGCGCTTCTGCGGCCGTCTGGAACGCTCTTCCTTCCGATAGTAGGAAGCCACTGGAGCTGTGCACTTTTAAATCTAGATTGAAAACTCATTTCTTTGGAACTGCTTTTTGTGTTTAGTTTGCTGTCCTTCCCCCGCACCTCCAATTAGCACGGTTGGCTATGTACGGTGCGAAAGAGGTTCAACATACTGCAGGCTACGCTCCTTCAATGGAAGAGGAATAGCAACACTATGGCTCTCACCCCACGCTCTATCTGCTGAACCAAAGCGCGTGCCGGCAGCGTGTACAACATCAGGCGGCGCGTGCGTGTGCGGTGCGGAGCTCACCCGCAGCCTGCATGCGTGTGTGTGTGCGGTGCCGTGCGGAGCTCACCCGCAGCCTGCATGCGTGTGTGTGTGCGGTGCGGTGCGGAGCTCACCCGCAGCCTGCATGCGCGTGCGCACGAGCGCAAGCGGGTAGCTGGCGAGCTGCCCGCACGTGCTGGAGGTGGTGGCGCAGCACAGCAGCACGGCGATGCCCGGGTTCGCCCCCTCGGCGCCGTGCTTCTGGAGCCACCAGTTCTTCAGCGTCTGCCGACGGCGGAGGAAAGGGCCATCGTCAAAGCGTTACGCAGACGCCAGGTTTTTGCCGAACAGCAAAAAGACAAGACGATAACAAGCTGGCAAGATGGACAATTAATCCTTTCCCGTTCCATAACGTCTGCATGTTGCAGGGTGGGTGTCCCGGTCACCGCTGAATCTTGGAACGCGCAAGCGGCTCAGAGTTCATTTTAATTAGAGGAGCATAGCGCGCCGTTGTTTTTACAGACATTGTACCCACCGCAGAGAACCGTAGCGAGACTCTCCGATAGCTGGCGCCAAACTGTGCCGCACGCCCTCCTGCATGGCCTTGTGGGAGCATGGCCTTGTACTGATGAAGTTATTTTATTTGTATTCCGATTGAGTTCAGACGAAGTACACGTACGTCATTGGAATGGAAAGGGCCCTCAGTTTGGTTAGGTAATTCAGGCACACAAATGTTAATGATATAAAGATTTGCTTATTTACCCAGGAAAGCTACAGAGAGTCTGTAAATTGATTATTTCAGGAGGGTGCTGCATTGGGATGTTTCACCAACACAATCACACTTTGCGTTTTTTTTGTTATTGGAGGAAACCAGTCAACCATGCATAACAGGGGGAGATCATAGAAACTCCACACAGTGATGGGTACCCGAGTCTGAGATCCAACCCAGGCACTTCTTAATAATAATAATAATAATGCAATTTATAACGCGCGCAAATTTGCGGACGTAACGGCTCAGAGTCGCTCGAAAGCGCGGTTGTAGAGGTGAGTTTTTAAGTGCCTCTTGAAGGAGGCGATTGAGGTGATGCTGCGAATGTGCAGAGGGGTGACGGCGTTCCAGACTGTTGGGGCTGCCACCGAGAAGCGGCGCATAGACGTGACTGTCCTGGATCTTGGGATTAAGAGGGGGTCGTGCGTCTGCCATGTGCTGAGCTGGTGTGAGGGAAACATTTTATCACTGCACTAAATGAACAAGTACAGCCCTTTGTCAATCCACTGATGGGAGAAGTCCTCCTGGTGACAATAACAGCACATTCCTGAAACATATATGTTGTAATGCACGAGCAATTGGGTGCACACATGTCAAGTAACACAACAAGCCTATGACCACAGGGAAAATTTTTGTTATCTGTCCATATCAAACTTATATTCATCACATTTTGTCCCATAACTGCAGCCATGAAGCAGTATTCGTTACATTCCAAAAAATGCTGCCTTCGTATCAAGGGCGAATTGGAATCAAGTTTACAACCCATATTCTATGAAAGCGCATGCCCGCTTGATTAAAACACTTCACGATTCTTTGTCCACTGCATCGTACCCCCACAGATGGTCACACAGCGAACTTCTCATTTCACATCCATCGTCCACTTTGTAGGTAATCACGATATTCAGGACATCCGTGGTATACACCGAAAACAACAACCGCCATTCGCCACGGAAGTGGTGGTGACGTCACCGAAACGCTCGTGCAGGTTAGATGGGCTCCGAGGCCACGTGAAGCGTCGAAGGCTCGCCGACAGACCGAGGAAGAAACCGAGGTGGCACGGGTGAACTGACCGAGATGACTGGCACACACAAACGCATAAACGCCCTGTGTACACTAAACAGTGCTCATGGGTTTCCTCACCTCATAGGTGGCCAAGTCGATGCCCGCATAGGGGATGATCCCAAGCACGTTGGGCAAGTAGCCCTTGAAGAATGCCCGCAGGCCCTCGCGCTTCGCGATTTTGCGAGCGCAGTCGACCATGCTGCTGTACTGCCCCGTCTTGCCCAGCGCCAGTCTCGTCTTCACCACCTTGGGTCGACGATCCAAAAAACACAGGCACACACACTCTCTATGAATACGTGGAGCAGTTAGTCTATGATGGGAAGGTCACGTGTGGTGTAGTAGCGAAAACTAAACTTCGTTTTTTTTTGTACCAGGTCAGACCCACTGAGCTACGTAGCTCTTTTTCAGAAGCGACCTGGCCACAAATGACAGCTCGACGAAGCGTCTTGTCACGTGGACATTTATAGCAGCCAACTCCTCGAAACACTTGTTTCTAAACGTGGAGTGGAAAACCAGAGGAGCCGAAGAAAAATTCACGTGACCACGGGCAGAGAGAACATGCAAACTACAAATATGCAGGTGTCAGGGTCGGGATCGAACCCACGACCTCCTGCATACCAGGCGGGGGAGTTGACATCTCGCCACGTGGGTACTCCCACGTGAAGTATTGATACTCCGACGTCATCCGAGACGTTTGATCAGTGAGTTGGCCAAATATTCTCTCGATGGGATCGCTCGAGCTACCTCTACTGGAGACCATCCTGCCAGCAGTGGCGGGAGCAAGCAATTGCAGGGCTGCCTCTTTAGACGGTTCTTCAACTGCATTTTCCAGCAGCCCACATAATAAAACTATCGTGTGCTGCTGGACTACGTGACGTCATTAGGACCTCCGAATAGCACGGTTGGCTACGTACGGTGCGAAAGAAGTTCAACATACATATATACATACGTCATACAACACGCACGGTCTCAACATCACAGCGTCACATGTGCAGACTTTACGTCCCACGGCGTCGTTACATCACGAAGTCTGTATACGCGACCGCTATGAACAAGTGGACACGCGTGCGTGCGGCTGACGCAATGACGTCGCCATGTGCTCATCATTTGAGGGCTCGGATTTTCCAGCGCAAAAGGCATACGAGCGAGTCTCAGCGGGTCAGGTGGCGACCGGCGGTGGTGTCGCCAGGTAAAACAAAACATGAAAACCTGGTCTCTACGTATTGAACGGGACACCTCCTGGTGTGGATTCTGTGCCTCGGGGGCTACCCCGGCATGCTGGACATCTGCGAAAAAGAACTTCATGGCTCGGATTCATACTCTTAGGTTTTTTCAGTAAAGTCACGTAGGTAAAAAATAAAAGAAATAATAAATAATAGAAATAATAGAAGTAAAATACTAAATCACGACGTTTCTGAGGCAACACAAGTCTCCGTCATCAGGTGGGACCGTCACAGCTGAATTTACTGTACCTTAATACAGTAAATTCAGCTGTGACGGTACCTTAATACAGTAAATTCAGCTGTGACGGTCCCACCTGATGACGGAGACTTGTGTTGCCTCCAAAACGCCGTGATTTATTATATTTCTTTTATTATTTATATTATTTATTATATTTTTTAACTACGTGACTTTACCGAAAAAACCTAAGAGTATGAATCCTTGCAGTCACGAAAGCTTCAAATCTAGAATCAATCAAATTCCTCCTCCGGTCCCAATGAAGATTCTGATTCCGATACCCAAGCAGCGGCCACTCGCACCTCCATGGGGTAGATGACCGTCTGCGCCGTGGCGCCAGCGAGCGAGCCGGCCACCAGCCGCTCCTGCACGCCGATCTGCTCCTGCCGCATGCCGATCAGCTTCTTGATCTGCAGGGGCGAATAAAGCGAAGGAGCGGATCACGCGGGGCGGTGGGGCGGTGGGAGACAGCATGGGGCGGCGAGGGGGGGGGGGTCACAGTGGATCGCTCAACGAAACGTAACTTGCCACGGCTGCCACTAGGCTCTCGCTTGACTAATGACGAAGTCGCCCGGAATCCTCCCAACTCTCGTTAGATGTTAGAAGCTAGGCAGGAAGGGGTTTGTTTTGAGCCTGTGTGGTGCTTGGATGGGTGACCACCGTAGCGGCCTACGCGTGTCGTAGGTTGCTGCGGGGGGCTACGTTGTCAGCAGAGGGCAGTGCAGGCAAATCAATATATTTATTTATACCGAGCGATCCGATGAGCTACAAATATCTTTTTCACAGATGTCCTATAGGGGTGTGTCAGAACGTTACATCAACAAACAATGCAAAAAAACACGATAGGAGTGCAAAGTATAGGAAAGGTAAACAAACCACTTAAAAAAAAATACAAATAAAACTAAACAAATTTTTATATTACCAGGTAAAGCCCACTCGGCTATTAGCTTATTTTCCAGAAGTGACCTGGCCAAAAATGATCGCTCAACAAAGTGGCTCATCACGAAACTGAACGCGCCATCAACACCGTCCCAGCGCAGTTGGCAAAGTCGGTTCGTCCGAGTACGTCCGACATATCCGCGGTGCTTTATGGGCATTTCTCTCTTGATATCGAGAAGGGCGGACACGTTATTGCAACGTGAATTACAGTAACAATTGGTTCACATACTATTCCCCCAAGTGAAGAGCCACTCTTGTGAGTCCACCAATGATTACACACACCACTAAAGTGTCCGCAATGTCCACCCAAAAGTGTGGAGCTGCCTCTCGGCACCATCTCTCATTAACGGAGGACAAGAAATTAAGCCTTAACGGCCGCAGCAGCGATGTTACCTTCGCCGGAAGTGTCATCATTAGTAAGACTTTAATTACTCGCAGGAACTTATACATTTGCAATGACATGATGACACCTGCTGGTGAGAAAAGGGAAGCACGGGTACAGACACCGCTAAAACAGCATCCAGTCCGAAAGGGAGAGGTATCTGGGCCAAAGGTAATGGGCGGGGCTGGCCGGGATGCTCTGGGAACCCGCTCGAAGGTTCCAGGAGAGGGCGTGGACAGAGGCGGAGCCTAGCCGCGCCTGCGGTGATATAAGTGGGGGCGGAGGAGGACTCGAAGTTGGTGTGTGAAGTCTTGGGTCCGGACTGCGTCGCTGCTCGCCGTCATCTCTCTCCGTCGTCCGGCCACGCGGAAGATCTCCTGCGGCTTCCATCCCCCTCCCCGGCACGCCGCCAGCCAGCGGCGTGGCCGAGTGTGAACGGTGGAATCGCGCCGAGTGATCGGCCGTGTGTGTGTAGCCCGTAGAGACGCTAACATCCAGTGTTGTACTCCGAGTGAGAGATAAGGTTGGCCTGTGTTGTGCCCGTATATGAATAAAAGAAGAAGTACCCTTTACACGACGTGTCGCAGAAGTCGCTCATTACACATTTATAGATTCCATCAAGATCTAGGTTGCGCTCTTTTGGTGATCGGGCTTTTGTTAGCATGGCACCCAGACTATGGAATGCCTTGCCACTTAAAATAAGACAATTGGAGTCGGTAGATATATTTAAGTCTGCTTTGAAAACCCATCTCTTTAAAGTGGCCTTCCCTCTTTAGTTTCGTCGGTTGCCCTGGTTCTGTTTTAGTTTTCTGCTTTTTATTCATTGCGCATTAAACATTTGAATTATTATTATTGCATGAAGGGAAATTATTGCATGAAGGGAAATGTCAATAATTGCATCGAAGTGACCAATCATCTCAAACAGGGTCCTTCCAACAAGTCTATAAGACTCGTTCAAATGTATGTACGCTCAACTTCTTTCACACTGTACATAGCCAAAACTAAACACAAAAAGCAGTTCTAAAGAAATTAGCTTTCAATTGAGAAAATGCACATGGGTGTAGCATCATCATCACACATTTATAATCCACCTATCAGTGACCTGATATCACCAGATCTCTGTTTATAAATGTATTTATGACTAATACGAATGACTGTCAACGCACTGCTGAATGAAGGCCTCCCCATGCTCTACCAGTCATTGGGGTTCGTACGATCATACTTCACCACGCCGGTCTTTGTGGGTGAGTAAAAGGACTGGCTCAGACAGCGCTCACCATTCCCGTGAGCTGTGGCTGGGACTAAAACTCAACGAGCATCGTAGCGCAGGGCACCATCGTCAGAAGATATTTGTTTGTGTTTAGATACAAGGGGTCATCAATTATTCGGTGGCCTCGGGGGGAGGGGGGGTGCTGGATTTTCAAAAACGCCGGATAATCACTAAATAATCATTATTTTAAATAGCTTATTTTCACATTCTAGTATGACAGTATGTCTCTTGATGTTGTTATATTGTTAACTATGTTAAATTGGCATAAATAAACATTCAAAGACAACAATAAATATCCTACTTGAAAAAGTGGCTGTATTTACTGCATCGTACTTATCACTCCAATCTCGAAGACTGCATGGGGTGATGTATATACGTGCAGTATTTTCATTGTTTACGTTGGATGTAGCCTATAATGTACTGTGTATAATATTTGACACTGAAATCAATCGTGGCTAATTTTTTACACACGTTTATTTAACTCACTCTGCCTGTTGTTGTTGTCGTCGTTGTATCCTCAAATCTTGTAACTAAATTTTTACCCACTTCCCAATATGGTATCGACTGCAAACTTGGTATACTCATGTCATACTGATGACAATACTATATTCTATCATAAAAAATAAAAAAGTAAACATTTTAAAACATTATTTTTTATATGTTATGTTTCGGCTTGGGTCTAATTGTCCACGCTCAACTGACGTTGGCTGTCAATCACCATGGTCCCTTACGTCATGGCAAGCCTCGGGGCCACTTCCTGGAGTCGTGGAGTTCTGCCATTACTAGTACGGTACATTTAATTAAAGAGTGTTTTAAAAAAAGTATTTTTAAATATTACTTTTTTTGTCACACACATGCTGCTGATAGCCAGACTGGCTACAGTCTTTGGAGTGGGGTCTCCAGTTTCAAGCCGGCACTGCCAGATAATGTTGGAAGCCGGATAATCGCGAGCCGGATCATCGATGATCAACTGCATTACACAAACTCAATCAACTACACAAGAAGCTGAATACAAAGCGCACCCCTTGGCAGCAAGGCAAGTTGTGCTTCTATCCTAAGTCGTGCACTTGCATCAGAAGTTGCCCTTCTCCTCTCTCCACCTGTGGAGGCATGTGTGTCTTATTTGAGAGCTGTGCGAATAGCGACTCGAGCTACGTCTGGACTTCTCATGCCGTTATCTTATTCTGAAGGTGTGGCCGCCCGCAGAAAACGAGTCTTGGGATTCGGCAGGGCGTTTTTCCGGCGCAGGCAAAACTAGTGATCAATCATTCCTCAACAGCCATCGATATCTCGGCAACGCTATTAGGAAGCCACCGGAGCTATGTACTTTTAAATCTCGATTGAAAACTCATTTCTTTAGAATTACTTTTTTGTGTGTATCGTTTGTTGTCCTTCTCCCCCCGCCCCATACACACATAGACTCACACAGAGACCCATAGACTCACACAGAGACCCATAGACTCACACAGAGACCCATAGACTCACAGAGACCCATAGACTCACACAGAGACACAGAGACCCATAGACTCACACAGAGACCCATAGACTCACACAGAGACCCATAGTTTGTTGTCCGTAACCCGCACCACCGATTGGCATGGTTGGCTACGTACGGTGTGAATCGGAGGCTCCTACAAGTTGGCAGCTATAACAGAGTGTGGCGGTCGTGTCGCTACAGTTCTCTGCGGTGAGTACAATGTCTATAACATCAATGGCGCTATGCCTCTTGAAACAAAATTAATGCCGAGCCGTTTGCGTGTTCCATATAGCGCTGATGAGGGGCTCGGAGCGCACCTGCTCGTACGCCATGAACTTGATGGCCGTCTCCGGGGCGATCTTGATCACGTTGACACCGTTTCCGCGCCACAGCGAGCGGACGCCGCCCTCCCTGATCATGTGCGCGAGGCCACCCACCACGCCGATGGTGTTGTGGCGGGAAGCCTTCACCTGCACGTTGGACACGCGCAGACACAGAGGCATAAACAAAGAATCCAACCCCCCGGTGAAGCCTTTCGAAGGCCATTCAGGAAAGTGCTGTTAACGACCGCCGGTGAAGAACGTCACGACGACGGACGAAGGGGGTGGGGAGTCCAGCACCACGCCCGGCCGTCTCTTCTGTGCCGATTTTTAGACACTGAGCCAGGCATTAACCCTTTTCCATTCCGATGACGTTCGTCATCGGTTTTTGGGAATCAGCAGAAGACGTACCGAGGCTCCCACAAGGCCATGCGTGAGTGCGGCACAGTTTGGCGCCAGCTATAATAGAGTACGGTCTTGTCGCTACGGATCTCTGCGGTGGGTACAATGTCTTTAAAAACAACGGCGCTACTGCGCCTCTTTAAATAAAACTAATGCTGAGCCGCTTGCACGTTCCGAGATTCAGCGGTGAACGGGACACCCACCCTGCAACTTGCAGATGTCTCGGAATGGGAAAGGGTTACTATGAGGCCGAGTTGACCAAGGGGGAGGCGGCTAAGGACCGGTTCATGTATCACTCGCCACTGACATTCGCCGTGGCCACCAATTGAACTAAGGTCCCTGCGTTCGCAATCGGCAGTGCGCCGACTGCTACACAAAAGCTCCCCACACACGCGGACACGCAGGGGCACATGCAGATGTACACATACGGGGATGGTCCGGAGGCTCAGAAGTCAGAGCGCTAAGGTCGCATTGCTGAGACCGCGTGCTCGAGTTAGATGGAGTGCCATTCCCAAATTGCTCATCTCAGTGATCGGTCAATGTGTGTCAATGCAGTAAATTCACAACTCAGCAACAACCAAATCACCGAGCGTTATTGACATTTGTGATAATGATGACAACTGTAACAATTATGACCAGGATAAGAAATCCTGATAGTTACACAATGATGATGATGATGACAATGATAATGAATTTCGCTCTTAAAAGAACAATCATCATTTACAGTTAACTCTCGATTATCCATTGCATTATATTGGTTGTGGATGAATCGTGCTGACAAAAAATAATACATGTTTACACGTGTGCTACTTTTACTATGTGTTGCTCCTTACTAATACTGGTAGGAACCTCTCCTGGTTACACCAGCCCACAGAGGATTACTGTGTCCGTCCGTCGTGCAGGGAGGGGCTTGGTGGGGAGGGAGAGGCTGGGTGGGGAGGGTGGGGAGGGGCTGGGTGGGGAGGGGAGGGTGGGGAGGGGCTGGGTGGAGAGGGTAGGGCTGGGTGGGGGGTGGGAGGGGTGGGGCTGGGTGGAGAGGGCTGGTCACCCCGTGGTGCCCTTATAAAACCCAACGTTTAACCTACTCTCGCCGGCTTGTGCCCGCCCTCACAGTCGGGCATAATTGCGGAATACACCACGCCGCCGTTGACCCTGGCCATTGACCGAGCAACCCGACGTTCCTACACCAGCTCCCTCCGCAGGAGGAATGTGTTCTAGGGTCGGGTGAATTTGCTCACCATTTTAAGGAAGAAGCAACGACAACAGGCGACGCATTCCACACCTGCACCCCGGCTCTGCGTCGCTAAAGCACTGAAACACAGCCCTGCTGCGGTACCCACTCAAAACTCAGTTGCTGATAGAAACTGTCACGGCGTCGAGAGAAACGTCATACGCCATGCTAGATAACATTCGGTGCGGTCCAAACATCGCATCATGGAGAACTCTACAGCGCAACTCCCAATGACCTACGCGGCGGTATACAGAGAATACATTTACAAAGCCTAATTCACGTGTCCTCCATTGCCTGTGTTGCTATTTAACCTGGGCCGCCCTCTTCGCTCTCTCCCCTAACCTGTAAAATCGGGAGTTTGACTGTACTTTATTCATTCAGGCTGCAGAACGAGATTACGCTTGAAGTGAGCGGGGCCCATATATGAGGCTGTGCGCGCAAGAGCAAAGTTAATTAAGAGTTAAGCCTCCTGGCTCGAGTCAGCTAAGCTGCAAGCTGAGAGTCACATCACACTCCCACAGAGGGAGGGGGGGCTGACGTGCCAGCGTGACGGTAATTACCATCGCTCAGGCTGTGGAGGCTTGCATGGGAACAACCGAGATAACGTGGCCTGCCCTTCAACGCTCAGCTATTTGATGAGAAATGAGCACGTTTAAATATGTAACCATCAACAGAACTTTCGCTGCCAAAGCACACACGCGTGCGCGCGCATGTGCGTGCGTGCCGTCTAACACGCTCGGTTAATCTGCGCGTTCCCAGAAAAAAAGATCGATAATACAATAAAACATACCCTGCACCAGTTCCAAATCGTTCATATTGGAGTAGTTACTTGGCCCATACGTGAAACTGAGCTGACAGATGTCAGCGGTGGACACAAACTGAGTTAGTGCGCGAAATAAACAGTCGATGTACTGTGGTTGACGGGTGGGTCAGAGGTCAGGGCACCGAGCCAGAAAACTGTGCTTTGGCTACCAGTGATAAAAACCGGGTTCTCAAGTGTGGATGTCCTCAGCCCTTTAACCAATGACTGCACAAAAACACTTTACATTTGAATTGTCACCTTATTTGCCCAAATTCCAGCTCTGACAATGAATATATCGGTTTAACCATCAAGCTATGTACATTTATCTCAATGTGGGGTGTGTGAGGCAGTACAACTCCCATTGAGTGTGGATACATAGGTTATCTTGAAAGTATCTCCAAAAAATTATGTGAAAATCCGCTTCCTTTGGCCGTGTTCTGCATGCATGTATGTTCACCTTTTCGCACCGTACATAGCCAACCGCGCTAATTGGAGGTGTGGGGGAAGGACAACAAACTAATTCTGCTCAAGTGAAAGCGAGGTGGCCCTCAACACTGATTAGAGCCCTGGGCCAGTGGTGGACATTCCACTTTCCCGTGACCGAGGTCTTTAACAAGTACACCCGTAAAAACAAAGTTTTTCACTAAATCCTTTATATGCGTGGCGGCTAGAGTCCTCTCGTCCTCTGGCTTGAGATGGCTGCCACCTATGGGTCAGATGATTGTCTGCCACCATTAAGCAATTGGTAATTAAATATTTAAAAAAAATCCCTAAACAGTGTAAAATTTTGGAAAAAAATTTTCACGAAAATTAATTGTCACGCACAACGAGTCTGTGTGGAAAATGTCAGCTCGATTGGATCACGGGAAGTGGGTTAAAAAACGACCGAAAGATTTGCACGGTCGTAAGCAAGCAAGCAAGCACGCAAGCGAACTTAATATAAAGGATTTAAAAAGACAACTGTAGATGGTGGACAAAGCAGTACTCATTTTTCCCACCCAAGAGAGATGATAGGCCGAGTCAATCGCTAAACTGGGATTTGTATTTTGCAAGTTTCCAACTCTGAGTCATGTCATTTACCCAGAGTGCCACTTTATTTATATAATGTAATAACCGAACGGGTGGAGTCTTGGCAAAGTGGTTAGCGTGCTGCACTACGAAACACCGCTGCCCAAGTTCTATTCCTGGCCACTTACCAGTGTGGTCAAGTATGGTCAATTAACCCAATGGCCCAGCACAGTTATAAGTCCTTTATTTGTATTAATTGTCGATTAATTAACAAATGGCAAGCATCAGGGTCAAATTAAAATGTCTTGCTTTTCATGCGATTGTATTCTGTGCCTGGACGTCACCTCCATAGGCTATCAGTTTCCATTTGAAAACTATACACTTAATTATTTGATGAGAATAGGTTTTCCGCTTTTTTCTGGCAACAAAATAGGTGTTAAGATGTTAAAACACCAAACTGAAACCTTTTACAAGGAATCATGTTTGCATTAACCACAACACTTGTGGTCAGAATGCAAACAAAAAACGTACTATTTTATTCTTTCGGTAAAGTCACGTAGAAAGAAAATAAATGAAATAATGTATTCAATTTAGAAAATAAGTTTAATAATTTTATTTACAGAATTAATTAAATAAAATTTGCTTTATTTATTTTCTATTTACTTAATTTATTTTCTACGTGACTTTACCGAAAGAAGCAAAGAGTAATTCCTACAGTCACGAAAGCTTCAAAACAAATTTTAAAAAACATACTCTGATAATATATGCATTGTCTTTGAAACTGATTGGTCCACACCAGAGACAGCTTTCTTTTGAGCCTCGTCTCTTTTGGCATCCTATGGTCTAACACTTTTTTGAGACGAGGCTCAAAAGAAAGCTGTCTCTGGTGTGGACCAATCAGTTTCAAAGACAATGCATATATTATCAGAGTATGTGTTGTGTTTGAATTGCCAGAAAAAAGGGGAAAACCTATACTCATATTTTGGTACTGGCAAAGGAGGTCCCATGATATAAGTTATTTTATTTACCAAGTTAAGCTCACTGAGCTATATAGCTCTTTTTCAGAAGCGACCTGACCACAAACGATGGCTCAACAAAGTGGGCTTATCATCATGTAGACATTTATAGCAGCCAAATACTCTAAATGCGTTTCCAAATGTAGAGGGAAAAAACGGAGAACCCGGAGAAAAATCCACTTGACCACGGGGAGAATATGCAAACTCCATATACACAGGCGTCAGGGTTGGGATTGAACCCACGTCCACCTGTATACCAGGTAGTTAATTAAGATGTAATGGTCTTAATTACAAAATTAATTAACACGTGTTGAAAGCAACTGGGGAACAAGGAGCTAACCTAATGCTGTTGTCAATTAGAGGCTAGCACACGGCCCCAACGATTACAAAATGTATCCATTAAAGGTAATTAGCCGCGGTCGTGTTTGCAAATTAATGGATTAATTAACTACACAACTAGGGAAATACAGTGTGGCAAACAAAAGAAGCGTGGTGGGTTGGTGTTTATCCTTGTGCCAACATGTCCTTGGCAAGCGTCGTCAACGTCACAATCAGGCCATGTTCAACCAAATGCTGGATAAGGCCTCCCTGAAAGCGGTCATCCATCTCTCTGTCTAGTCATCTCTCTGTCTAGCCATCTCTCTGTCTAGCCATCTCTCTGTCTAGCCATCTCTCTGTCTAGCCATCTCTCTGTCTAGCCATCTCTCTGTCTAGCCATCTCTCTGTCTAGCCATCTCTCTTCTCTGTCTAGCCATCTCTCTGTCTAGCCATCTCTCTGTCTAGCCATCTCTCTGTCTAGTCATCTCTCTGTCTAGCCATCTCTCTGTCTAGCCATCTCTCTGTCTAGCCATCTCTCTGTCTAGCCATCTCTCTGTCTAGCCATCTCTCTGTCTAGCCATCTCTCTGTCTAGCCATCTCTCTGTCTAGCCATCTCTCTGTCTAGCCATCTCTCTGTCTAGCCAAGACTTTCAAAGCCCTCCTGCATGTGCTCGTCTGCCTCTTTCTTTCTTCGTTTTCATCTCGGTCCACCTGCAACAACACAACAACTGTTGTGTTTCTAGTTTGTGTCCTTCTGACCGCTATTCCCAGTTGTTCATTCAGCCCGTGAGATATGGTGACTTTTGTTTCGATCAATGTCCATCTTGAGCCAAACTTTGCAGCCCTCTTTTATTAAATTATAGGCAAGCTCACCTTGCGAATACCCGCATTGCGAAACCACCGCCAGGACAAACCAAATCCCTGGTGAGCCAGAATCAGTTTGAGCCTAGGCTGGATTTGCCAAAGGCTGCTTACCAGCCACAGCCAGTGGATTAACCGGAAGGGAAACCCGATCAATGATTCAATTAACTGTGTCGTGCTACAGCTAACGTGGGAAATGTCACATTAGAAAAAAATCTGGCCTGGGTTGCCGTTACATATGGAAACGGGGTGCAACTTTACACCTCGGTGGCTGAGCAAAGACTCGAATGCAGATAAAGATAGAGAGCCTTCCGAATGTGAGAGGGCGAGTTATTGGAGGGCAGATCGGCAGAAGTAAACAAAGACAAACAGGGAGCAACGGGTGCTGCAGGGTAAGCACATCATTGGAGACCGTGCCTGCTTGTACACTCGCAATACACTGCTGCATGTAGGCCTTCGCACACATTGTCATGGAGGTTGTTTTATGAAATGCGCGCTGGTGAAAGGGGTACCGAGAACCGGTACAGATATCCACTCGCCACTGATGTCAGCCGCGGCTGGCAATCGAACATCAGGACACCGGGTTCGTAGCGCAGCGACACTCACCACCACTGTCATGAAGCCACGTGATGTCACAACATCGGTACAAATGATATACGGACATCACTTAGTCTGCCAGCGCATGCATTGTTACATGGCCCACTGGGAAAAAAACAAATAAGTACACTGGTAGAGAACAATGGATCACATGGCACGTTTGTGATGACAGCCGGTGGCAGTAAGGACAACGTGTAAACAGCAATGAATCGAACATCCTGCCAACTGGTTCGAAACGGACCAACGTTGACCGAGCCAAGTCAAATGGACAGCGCAGCTGGAGGAGGTCACCTGCATGATGACCTTGAGACGGTCAAGCGGCGCCGTGCAGGTGCGCGAAACCACGCCGGCGCCACCGCCGGCCACCAGCTGCCGCCACCACGTGCCGCTGCGACGCTCCTCCTCCGTGAACTCATCCGGCACGGCCATGCTGTCGCCCACGTCCAAGATCTATTGGAACAGTAAGTGCAAGCAATAGTTGTCGTTACAATGATTATGATGATGTCATTTCTCTCTAGTTGCGTTTTGACTTTTTGGGTTTTACTGCGTGCTGTTCGGCATGATGTCCAAAGTTTCGCTCCACGTACCGGGAGCTCGGTGACTAAATGACCGGATGCACAATCTCCCAAAGTCGGGAGTTCAAATCTAGGTCGGAGGGTCGACTCAGCCCATCATACATCTGGGGTTATAAAATACGTACCATTTTATGGGAAGTCGACTCAACGTTCTCTGCCCTGCCATACGAAGTTGGCAGTGACATCACCAGTTCAACGTCGCCAACAGAGGTGGCATCCTCCCCCATTAGAGTTTTAGCAAAAGTTTAAATTTCAGGGGTTTTTCATTCTAAGGATCAAACTAAATTCTAAGCGGGGTACCTCCTGAAAGAGCCTTAACCTTCAATGACGCTTTGCATGGGTGAAAATAATTATATAAAGCACACTGGCAGTATTAATATTATAACTGTTATTGAAAGCCAATTTTGCCGCCAACACGCATCAAGATCACATTTAATACATCCTACAGGGCTTCACTTCACGGACGACACCCGAGATACTTGCGTGAATGTGGGCGAATATCCAAACGTATTTTGCTTCCTCTACAGTCTGGACTCTCTGTGTCACGATTGGCATATTACGCTTTCTAATAACCCTCAGGGGGGGGGGGGGGGCGTCTAATTGCATCGAAACAATACCAGGAAGATCCTTTCAGAGGTGCGCACGCTTGTTATAGTTCAGTGTACAAGTTCTGCCAAATACTTGCTCATGACACTTTGTTGACAGAAGGGCCTCGCCTAGAGGGACCTCTGGATGGTATTTGGCCTACTCTTCCATGCTGGCCAGACATTTAGTAAGGGGGGGGGGGGGAGAACCCACACTTTAATCCACCACACGTGACCCGCTGACCAACTAAAATGTAGTGCACACATTTATACTGCAAGGTGGACAGACAGGCGGATTTAAGAATGTGTGTGAATGCTTCCGCAACCTATTATGATCACTCGAGGTGGGCTTGGTCTCGGCAAAGAGGAACAATCCACTGCTGAAACTGTATGGCGTTTCCAACTCCCCCAGGCGATATTCTCATGGGAAAAGGAACGCTCGCGCGCGCCTGGATAAGCGCCGCGAAAAATGGTCGACCAATTTGCCTTTAGAGCCGGCGAGAAATTTAAGAGGTAAAAGTTAGCCTTGAAGGGGAAATCAAAAAGACAATTCCAAAAATGTCCTCAGCAACAGCTCTCATTATTGACCTGCTGGAAAGCAATCTGAACGGCATTTATTCTGGGTAAGACTGAAAAATAAGTTGAGGCCCCATTTTTTTATTCTTACACGAAACATAAAACGTGAAGCTCCTTTACCCATGTGAGCGACCCACACAGCAGGAGTGGGGCCGCCTTGGGAGAGTGCTTACATAACGGTGTGTAAATGGATAGGTTGGGAGGGGGGGTGTTGGGAATGAGCCAGTTGAGAGTTAAGGGAAATATAACCACGAGCCTTTGCCAAAAAATAATTCTGATTAAACCAAATCGCGTGCGTCATCGCCGTGCGCTGCATATCTCTGCATCGTAACTTTGACATTGCAATTCGCTGCCAAGGTTGTAAATAAATGCTGCGGAAACTTTATATTTGCCTGAAACCCGTTCACAATGACGACTACTGCAAGATCCCCCCCTCCTCTCCCCCCGTATCACTTCATACAGTGTCATTGGTGGGGGCAAGATAAGTTAGCGAGCAGATATAATTACAATGCCCTTTATTTAACCAGGTAAGCCTCACCGATTTGGCCAATTCCATTGATGATTGGCTTCATATGGGAAAAAAATGGTGCATCCGAAGAAAACCCATAAATAAAAGAGAATAACACGTCCACACAGATGCTCTGCCATCTGTTGGCCACCTTGCAGCCCAAGGCTGCAACACCAGACAGCCTCCAATACAAGCATTCCAAGTGTAGCTCAGTACACAAAATACCTATTTACTACTGTGCAACGGAGCGGTGCCAAGCCAGCCTGCCGTGGCTCAGGAGGCACCAGGATTGTTTTTCCACTGCAGAAGCCGAGGCATATCATCACGTGCCGCCGACGTCACACGCACAGTCCGAGTTGAGACGCATGTGGGCGACGCGGCGACAGTCTTGAGTTGCACTCAACGACAACATCCCCGGCCCCTGGCCCTGCTTGGCCACCCAAGCCCGTTTCAGGCGTCTTGCGAGGCGCATTACGGTTTGTTCTCCGGCTCGGCTTGACAGAAACCACGAGGACCACGAGGCCTCGGCTTGGATGCGCCCATGGCAAAGAGTGTTTAGGTATCGCAAAGTCTTCCCTTCCCCCGCCACCCCCTCCCCCGCCCCCCATATAAAAGTCCCACCACCCCGCCGTTTTCACAGTCCCACCTGCTGGGGCAATGAGGCCCACTCTCCCTCACCTCTCCTTTGTCCCACTCCCCCCTTCCTCCGGTACGTAGTTTAGTCAAGTCGGGTCGGCTCTTTGCGACGGGAGATCCTCCAACCGCAACGCGTGACTGGCTGTCACGGCCTCGTGGACATTCTTACACAATAGCTCTCATTTTGAAAAAAAGTCAGTTTAACACATAGGCTATATTATCCATAGAGGTTTTTGGGTTTTTGGGTTAGATTGTGTAAATATATGTGTCGGTAAACCCGCCACCACCTGACAGCCAAATAATAAGGGCTTGTCACGTAAACAAAACGTGCCAATTCGTTACTACATTTCGATTTAAAGCTTTCGTGACTGCAGGGATTCATCTTCTTGGTTCTTTCGGTAAAGTCACGTAGAAGGGAAGTAATAAAATAATAAAAATAAAACATAATAAAATAATTCTCACGACGTTTCGGCTGCTTGCGTTGTGGCCGAAACGTCGTACAGCACACCGGTGTGTTGGAGATTAAACCCACAATGGCCAAATCTGGCTGATGATGCTCGTTCTAATTACTGGTGAAACGTCATACTCGAATTGTAGATGTTGTGGGTTTACTCTCCAACACACCGGTGTGCTGAACTAGTAACGAATTGGCACGTTTGGTTTACGTGACAAACCTTACTAGTTGGCCGTGTCGGGTGGCGGCGGGTTTAATGACACATTGATATTAACGCGATCTAACACAAAAATCTCGATTGTGAAAAATAAAATAGTATCGCAAAGTCACATGATGAACACACGCGTACCATGGTGTGCCTCCAGTAGAGGATGATCTCGCTCATGTTCGTAACGGGGTTCAGGTAGTGGTAGTCGCGCCACTCGTTCCAGTCCACCGTCATGGTGCCGTCCTTGTCCATGCTGCCAGCCAGACGCAATCGCACGCGCGTGCACCAAACGGGATAAGTCATGTACATACATACAAAAAACACACGGTGCACACACGTGCACATTTTTACTCATAACCTGGTAACAGTCCGTTCAGATTTCCTCCACCACTGGCGTTAGCCGTGGCCGGGATAGAACTCGGGTCACCGGGTTGGTAGTGCAATGCATAAACAAAAGTGCCCACCACCCAACCACATTTAAAGTTAAATATTCACACTAATTTATTGATTAATCTCAGTATTCCAATAAAAAGTCATCAATACAGAAAAGTGTATGACTTTGCAAGTGATTTTCTTGTGATATAAAACGCAACAATAGATTGTCACCAACTAGCAAACATAATGTTCTCTCTGTATTATACATTTTAATATTATTATCAATCATCAAGTTCAAAAAAATATATTTGATGCATACACTTTCCCTTTGTCGGTGCTTCATATTTATTCATAGGTCACCTTAGTCATTCATGGCCAATGCCTGTAAACAGCCGATATCTTCTGATCCAGGCTACCATGCCGACAGCTACATACATAATGGATTAACTGCACACACGAACACATTACCACCACACACATGAAGATGTAATGCAGTCACCTCAAAAACAATACGGCCACATGAAGTTCCCCGCACACACCGTGTCAGTTATGGGCGTTGTTAGACCGTACTACATCACGCTGGTCAGTGTGGGTTGTTGAAGGAGAGAAGGTGGAGAAGACAGTAAAATCAGTTCTGACATCACTCGCCACTCACGAATCGAAGGTCACCGGGATGACAGCGCAGCGTGCGAATCACTGCACCGCCGCTACCAACCAATGTATGCTTATTGACAAATGCGCGTGGAATCTACTGCAGATATTTGACGATGACAGTGGGCACTTATCGCCCTCCTTACGGAGAAGCGAGATTCCATTATTGGAATCAAATACTTATTCTCAAGGTGATCGTGGGATCGGCGGAAATCAAGGAAACGTTGGGACTTCAGGCTGCGCGGAAAAACTAGAGTGATGCGATTGTTCTCACTATGCTCGCCAGGCCCCAGGGGCACTGCATTATCCATGCTTTGTTTATCTGGCAGGTTGGTGAAGGGGTACCTAGAACTGGTTAAGATATCACTCGCCACTGATGTTAGCCATGTGCTGGCAAATGAACTCAGGTAACTAAGTTCACAGCGGAACGCGATAACCAAACTAAACAAATTTTTATTTTACTGGTTAAGGCCCACTGAGCTATACAGCTCTTTTGCAGAAGCGACCTGACCACAAATGATAGCTCAAGAAGTGGCTTAAAGCGTGGAAATTCTATCAGCTAAATCCTCTAAAACGCATGTTTCTAAAAGTGCAAGGAAAAACCTGAGGGCCTGGAGTAAAATCCACATGACCACGGGGAAACAGACGCACAAACTCCAAATATACAGGCGTCAGGGTTGGGATCGAAGCCACGACCTCCTGTACACCAGGCGAGGTAGTTAACATCTCGGCACGGTGGCGCCTCCACCACTCGCCAGTCACCCCGGGACAATGCCCTCTCTCTCACCTTCTCAGTATCTTCTCCGCTTGCTGCAGGTTGACCGTAACACCCAGGCCTGACAGCGATTGCATAATTTCAGACGCGTCGATCTCACCTGCAAAAGAATCACGAGGGTGAGAATCCCAGCTGCATTACACACACACACGCACGTGCAGCCCTTGAGTCAACCTACTGCTGGATGAGAGCATCCCCACGCCGTTGCAGGTCAAGGGCGCTACTTCACCGTACGTTACCGCGCTGGTCAGTGCGAGTTGGTGAAGGTGGGGACCATAGATGTGGACCAGATGGCGTCATCTGGTCCAACCCATGTGAGACTAGGCTCTAAGGAAAGCTGTCTCGGGTGTGGACCAATCAACTTCAAGGACAGTGCACATTATCAGAGTTATGTCTTTTGTTTGTATTATGACTGCAGGTATTGCGGTCTATGCAAACATGACTCCTTGTAAAAAGGTGTCAGTTTTGTTGCCAGATAGAAGGGTAAAAAAACAATTATCATACTCGTTGGTTCTTTCGGTAAAGTCACGTAGGTAGAAATAAAATAAAATAAAAACAAATCACGACGTTTCGATCGCAACACAAGCAATCCTCATCAGGTGGAACAGAAAACACTTTTGAACGTCGCTCCAAATATCTTTGACGGAGAGAGCGCATCTCCTTGTCTTTCTCCTCTTCTGATTGGAGTCGCGTTCGATTTGCAGATTATATCGTCACCACAGGGAGTGATTGAACATCTTAACAAAGAAGGCTCTAAGGAGTCGGGTTCAAGATAAAAGAATGAACCCGAAGTCAGGCCCAGCTCTTTCACTTCACAAAGGATGATCATTGATGGACAGAGAACACATCAGAACGTGTGCCTAGTGCGACCATTAAAGGTGGATTGTATACGGAGCGATGAGATCGGTTCGCGCGTACCAGTGAGACGGGATCGCGTTATCGCAGACCCGTGAGGTACGGTAACAGTGCAGGGAGGCTTCCACCCAGCAGTGGATAGACCTCGGCTGATGATGATAATGATAATAAAACAAGTAGACAGTTTTACATCAGCTATTTGGCTCTCAGCTCTATACAGTGTTCTAGAGTGCGCCTTAAGCAACTGAAAACAATCTGTAACCAACGGTGAATATTTCATTATCGCAGTGGGTCTGCTTTCAAAGCCGACACTGTGGCCCCTGTCACAGCCTCTGACCTTTGTTCACTGCTGGTCGGCCTGGAACAGGCGTGCACTACCCATCCACCGCTTATCAGAAAGACCATCCCACCCCCATTGTTTGGCTGTTAAACAAGCGATTTATATGCTACCAGTCTATGTTTGGTTAAACGGAGGAATTCAGTAAGCACTGCTTAACAAAGCAGAGATTTTAGTCTATGTGCCAAGCGTGTGCAGTGAAATCATTATACTTTACTGCTATACCCCCCCTCCCCCTGCCTTTACAAAATAAAAACAAAATCCATGCGGTGTGAGAAGGATCTCATCCAACAGTGGAATGACAGAGGGCCTTTCGTGTGTGCGTAACCAAGCCTGTGTGTAAATGCTGAACACTAGCAGGTTAGGTTACGATCATTACGTGTGGCAGAGTGTTTGAGAGACCGGAATGGAAGAAGTAACAATTGGCATAGAATTGCACGTTTTTACATTATTGATACTGGCATTGTAAACCATTGCGTTACTCGGGTCTCATTTGCGTTGGGTTTCGCCTCGCGCGCGTATTCGCGTGCGAGCTTCGTCATCTCCCGCGATGTACCCACTGCCGGATGAAGGCCTCCCCCCAAGCCGTCACCAGCTCTCACAGCGCACCAGCTGATTTCATCGCTCCGTCTCCGCGGTGAACCAAAACTTACTCATGATACGCGACACACCACTGCGTCTAAAGAAGAAACGTTTTTAACCGGAGGACGTTACCTGCTCTGAAATACGGATCAGAACACGTGGACAGTGTCACCTGATAAAGAGTTCAATATATGACGAATCATCGCCTCACCTGCATAGAAAAATACACTATGTGGATCATGGGGGGCTGTTTGACCATACTTCACCACATTAAGTCAGTGAGAGTTGGCGACGGTGAGGAAGCACAGACGTGGCAGCACAGCACAGGACCACAATGTGTTTTTCTCCACTGCCTCATTGCTGCCCACTCTGTAGCCCAACAGCAGCCTATAACAACTGTGACATGTAGAGTGGTGAGCCCACACAAGCACTATCCAGACTCAACCCTGCTTAGCGTTCGGGATCTGATGAGCTCGGGCACATTCTGAGCAATTCGGTTATAAGGCTTGTCATAGGAATGTTGGGTCTCCACCAACAACTCAAGAGCAGCAAGAATAATCCATTATAGATTTGAAACTTTCGTGACTGCAAGGATTCATACTCTTAGGCTTTTTCGGTAAAGTCACGTAGGTAAAAAATAAAAATAAAATTAATAAAAGTGATATGGGGAAGAATTAATAGAAGTAATAATTACTGCATAAAGTGATGCAGTAATTTTAGCTGTGACGGTCCCACCTGATGACGGAGACTTGTGTTGCCTCCGAAACGTCGTGATTTATTATTTTATTTCTATTATTACTGCTATTAATTTTATTTAAATTTTTCACCTACGTGACTTTACCGAAAAAACCTAAGAGTAAGAATAATCCATTGAACACAGCTTTTGATGACTACGTTTTAGGCAACGCTTTTTGAGTAATTTGGCCCGTTTCCTATAGGGCAAGGCCTTCATAGCAACACAACTTTATACGAACATTGATTTTACCTTGGATCACCTGTAACTGTTATCGTGACCCCACGTTACAGACGGAATGACAGAAACTATGGACAGATACGTCAACGTTGATTGAACAGTGATCACAGGCACCATGAAAAGTAAATCGGAGCATCTCCTCGCTCATACGAGCACAAGCAGGAACAAGCGCCACTCAACGCTCGTGTGACTATTACTCTAAACTTGTTTTTATTTGATCAGGTAATGCCCACTGAGCTGTACAGCTTTTTCTCAGAAGCGATCTGGCTATCACAAACGATAGCTCTACAAAGTGGCTTTACGTGGAAATGTATCGTAGCTAAATACTCTAAACGCGTGACGTTGAATCAAAATGTGAAGGGAAAACCAAAGGCCCCGGAGAAAAATTCACGCGATCACGGGGAGAGCACGCAATCTCTAAATATACAGCAGGCGTCAGGGTCGGGATCTATCTCACGACCTCCTGCCTACCAGGCGAGGTAGTTAACATCTCGCCACCGCGGCGCCCTACTGTGAACGTGGAGACACGGCACGAACCGCCACGTACCATCGTTATTCCGGTCCAGGCTCTTGAACGTGAGCCACAGCTTCTTTTCGTGCTGCTTGACGTACCGCACAAACTCCTCAAAGTCGAGCTGCCCATCTTGGTTCGTGTCTCCAACGCGCAGTATCTCCTGAAGTGGGGAAGAACGATCACGCACATGCATGATTTTCCACAAAGCTTTGCGGTGTGCGTTTCTGTTCACGGAACTATTTAAAAGTCACTGACGGCAACGCTGCGTTAGGCATCGCGTGCAAAGGTGGACAGAGAAAACAAAAACGGAAGCGTGGTGAGGTGTGTGTGTGCTTGGAATTACAAATGAGAAACAGCGAGAGGAGAACGTGGATCAGAGAACATACGGAAGTCAGAGACATCACACCGAGTGTCAAGGAAAGTTAAGTGGGCTTGGCTAGCACTCGTCGCTAGAAGAGATGATGGCTGATAAGAGGACACTGGTGAACCAGAGGAATCACATCATCCACAGCACAACCACTGCTGCCAATTATTTCACTGAACCCAAAGGGACTGTGAGATGAGTCGAGCACCGAATTGGTGTTGAACTCACAACCTTAAGATTGAGCGATCAGTTAACCGGTCACCATCTGCTTCCCCGGAAAGGCCTCAACAAGTCTCAGGCATTGGGATGAATGGCCAAATCCATTCGTGAAAGTTTGGCTTGTGGGTGCAAGCCGGAGTACAGGGAAGATGCGCCTCACGTACGAAGGGGGTATGACACTCAAAGCTCCACATGGATTACAGAAACAATTGTTGTGCCGCCTTCTCTCGGCTGCCTCGCAGCACAAGCCTCCAGCACCTGGTATTACCAAGCAGTTCCCCAGTCTCGACACCGTTCAGCTTGTGAGATCCAATGCGATAGAGTGCATTCAAGGTCAGAATTTATTACCTATATTATGCACACACCACAATTCCAATAACCGCCATTACATAAAGCAGTTTATGATTAAAAAGTATATATGTACAGCTTTTTTATTAAGGCACTGCTGGATGAAGTCCTTCGCACTCTGTGCAGGTCATGACGTTATTTAACCATACTTCACCATGCTGGTCGGTAGGGGTTGGTAAAGGCAATGTAGCGGTAGTGTAGCGGGTAGTGCACTGCGCTCACGGCCAACACCAGTGACGATAATCTGAACCGGTCCTGGGCCTCCCCTAGTTCAACTCAGCCTTAAATGAGTACCTGGTGCAGTGTGTAAACATCGCCACTCGGGGAGACAAAGGCAGCCGGGCGTGGTACTGGCCACCCAACCCCTCGTGTGCCGTTCTGGCCCTCATAGGTGCTCGCTAACAGCACTTGCCCCAACAGTCTATACGGGGGATCTTTGTCTTGTAAAGTCAGTGAGTATCCACGTGGGAGCCTAAGAGTAGAGTACAACACTGGATGTTCGTGCACTCCTGTCTGCTAACCAGCATGTAACACAGCTCCACAGACTCCAAAGTCTGCCTGGTGGTCACCAATCAAAGCACTGTCCAGGCTTATTCAGATTCTGAGATTTGCTGAGATTTGGAACATTTTGGGTCACCGTTCATAGGCAAGAACAAAGACAAAGATCCCCCGTATAGCCTGTAACAGACTGTTGGGGCAAGTGCTGTTAGGGAGCACCTATGAAGGCCGGCACGGCACACGAGGAGGATGGCTGGCCAACACCACACCCGGCCGCCTGTGTCTCTCCAATGGCAAGAACACACACACACACACATATACACAGTAGTGATTAACACATCCTCACAGCCGGTCATCCAAAGATCATAAAATCGCAAAGAAAGTCAAGGACGTGAACAGGAATGTCGCTCTTTGTGCAGACCGAATGTGGACCAGGGAGCATTGAATTACCTGTGCTTCTCTCCTTAAGCCAAAAACAGTTTCATAACACGCTCGAAACCCAGGCGCACAGAAGTCCGCGACCTACGTTTCTGTACCCCCACCCTGCGTCGTGGTTTGCGCTCTGTCCAGGGGGCTTATTGAAATATAATAAAAACTTTTTTTTAAACCACTGGTGTATAAGCTCGCCAAGACGGTTTGTGCTTTCCTGCAGGGTGGGCGTTAAAGAGAATGTTTTGACATTTAAGCATTTATTTATTTATTTATTTCATCCGTGAAGGCTATTCTTTTTTAGGGGAACAATGCAGTTTGGGTGAAAACGCACGCAAGCCAGCAAGCAAGTAGCCAACTCCCGACCGACCACCCGGCCGAAGGGCTGACCAGGCACACGCGCACGACGTACACAAACACCCAGCCCACGTTAAGCACACATTTAGACACCTCTTTAAATACGACACGTGTCATGTGTTACAAATGCTGGCCGCCATACAGACACGTCCCTGCTGCAGAGTAACTCACGACTACGTTGCAACACGCGGAGAGTTTTAAACTCACATTAGCGCACGCCGAGCTGCTATTTATAATAACTTAGTGCAAACGCATTGCTTCTCCTGAAACACGATCACTGCAATAGAGAACAAATATGTACACGCCGGTGTCTGCACCGGCCCAGAAAATGACATTCAAAACATCCAGGCCTGCGATTTTATTAACAGGCCTGAATAATTGGTGGCGACACAGCCGAGAGGCAGAGAGTTTGTCGTTTGTCGCGAAGGTTCGCGGTTCGAGCCCACCGGCCGCCCTGGTTAATACCGCGGGTGTATCAATAACTCCCAAATGCGTACCGTCTGCTTCGCTGTGGACATGAAAGATCCTGCGATATCAAATGAAGAGAAGAAGTAGTCCACGTGTGTGCTGGTGTCATGGTCCAGATTTTCCGAATTGACTCACCAACCACACACCTGGCTAAACAAACTCACTGCAGCATGGAGTTCCGGCATATTTGGGGCAAAAAAAGCATATAGCAACGTTGCCACCTGCTTTAAAATGACTGCAAGACGACACAATCATTCGCGAAGCACAGTGCCTTCATGATAGCCTTGTGCTGTACGAATGGCACAGATCTGATATAATATTTTGATGAATAATTGATGCAGAAGTTTTGCAGCGTTGCCAGTGTGTTAGAGCAAACGCTGTGCACAGCAGGAGGCCGAGTGAACTGTACTCCGTAATACCACCTCATGAATATTGCAAGCCGTGAGCAATTGACCCATTAATAGATTAACGATCAGTGAACGTTTCCAATGTAGTGCTTTGTTTGCTCACACTGCCTATAACCAAATGCGCCCGATCTCGACAGATCTCGGAAGCTAAGCTCTATCGAGTCTGCACAGTGCCTAGATAGGCGGCCACCATGCATAAAGGTGTCGTAGAACTGCAGTGGGCCTGCGTTGTCAGTCGGGGGCAGTGTAGCAACAAATCCATTGTTGTACTGAACTATGCTCTAACCTCTATGCTCACCAAACCGCCCTGACCAGCATGGTGAAGTATGGTCAAATAGCCCCCACAATCCACACGGCGAGTGGAGGCCCTCATCCTGCAGTGAACTGTTGCAGGCCAATGTGGAGAGGGCAGTGCTTCAATGCTACAATGTCTATGATCTCCAGACCATCACCGTGCCACACGAATCAGTACGATGAAGTACGGACACAAAACACCCGCACAGTTTGGGGCGGCACTCATCCACAAGCGGACTGAGAGAAGGGCTGCATGCGTACATGTACTGCAGAGCTTTATAGCTCACCGGATTCCTGCAGTATAGCATCCTACATCCAACGATTCTACATGATCCACCAACGCTGCGTCTAAGTCTCTTGAGCAAAGGCATAATGCACGTGTCAACCCACCCCCTTAGCGATTCAATGACCTGCCACGATTTGGGGTTGCGGTTCAATATACCACTCACCACCAATATTATCCATGGCCGGGAATCAAACTGAGATTGCTGAGTTCATAGCAAATCACTGCACCACTCGTTTGCCTCTCAACTAGCATCACAAGCCAGTTGCGAACTCCGGTCATCCTCGCAGCGGCTTTTGGCCGGCCATAGAACAAAGACGGTCACTGCATCGCACGCTTTCAGATGCGCTTTTGCAGCCGTCTGGAACGATCTTCCTTCCGATATTAGGAAGCGACTGGAGCTATGCACTTTTAAATAATCTCGATTGAAAACAAATTCCTTTAGAACTGCTTTGTTGTGTTGAGCTTGTTGTCCTTCCCCCGCACGTCCGATGAGCACGGTTGGCTACATACGGTGCGAAAGAAGTTCAACATGCGGACATGTAACCTAAAAACAAAAAATCACCTGTGACTCAGCTTCCCTGGACAAAAAAAACTCAGAAGAATGAGCCATATTGCTGCATGACAAGGCAGGAAAACGTTGACAGCAGTCAACACGAATGAGAGACAAAACCCAGGCACCACACGGCACTAAAGCAACGTGTCCTGGAGTTCTGGGTCATGCCGATCAACTGCACCAACGGGGCTAGAGCACTCCACGAAAAGCAAATTGTCAGTCACTCGGTTAGATTTCATAGCGCACGTAAGAACGTAAGCACACGGATGGGAATCCACCTCAGGTCAACTTGGGCGGGCGTAGACGTCCCCGTGTTTACTTGATGTCTGTTTGCTGCAGTTCCGAAGAACAAGCCAAAGGATTTCCTGAAATGCTCGAAAAGAACATGCGATTTGTCGTCAAAAGCTTTAACCGACGCAACTCTCCACAGAAGCTGCACATCCGCACGCAGCACAGGGCAAGCGGCGCTATTAATAGGAACATCGCCCGCAAGCCAACCTCAGCGAGATTTTAAAAAAATATTAAGCGGAGAATATCCGTTACATTCCGTGAACTTACGCTGGGGCCTAACACCAATGCTGACCTTTGAAAAATGTCACGCTGAACATTATCTCATCGCGCTCAGAATAATTGGACCCTTGATGAACGTTCAGGGCGACACTAATGTAAAGAACACTGATGAGTTACGAAAATACGCAGTACGTGTTAACGTTCAATCACCTCGAAAAGATGTTTTAAAGTGAGCATGAAAACACTTTACCACCACCATCATCATCATCGCTAACGAGCGTAGCATAACGAACTGAAAAATGTAGTGAAACACATTGTTGCCATCACAATATCTCCTTCTCCCATCACCTGTGCCCCCAAAGAGCAATATGCAAACAATCATAATTGCCCACACAATTAATGTTTGGTTATCAACAAACAAGAAGAG